CACAACTGAAATAAGATGCTTTTTATTGTGAAGCGGTCACTACAGTTCACCTTGCCTTTCTGCACGAGCACTATCTGAAGGTGGGTGAATAGTATAGACAGCCAAGTAACAGGCTCTGTGATTGCACCCACAGTTATGGGGACAAGGGTCATTCCCCTTCATTCTGCGGTATCTCCCCTGGTGAGGAGGATGTCTGCTCCAAGGTCACGGTGCAACCACTGGCACATGCTGAATACTCACACAAGAAGGTGGGAGTTCAGTTTGCTGAGGGACTTTCTGCCCTGCTGTTCCCAAAATCGTTAGCAATGGCACATCAGGCCCTTTCCCCTTAGTGACCCCAGCTCTTTACACATTTTCTTTTCATCAAGACAAAATTGCTCACTCTGGGTAAACAGGAAACCCTGCTAATCTCAAGGCCCGCAGTTTGGTCTGCTTTACTGCTGTGCCTCCCACCTGTGAACACATCGGGTGCGTTTGACACTCAGACCTGCTCAAAACACCTGTGATGTGGAAACACCAACTGCAGAGATTAGGCTCTGCTCAGGGCTGGTGCTGTGTGTGTGTGCAGAAATTTTCAGTCACCCTCCCCCTTCCCTGAGTGCTAATACAAGCAAAGCTGACGGACAGGGAAAGAAGAGGCAAAACAATCATTCACATCTCTGATGCAACATTTTCACTTATACATTTGAAGTGGTTTCCAAAAGCTGGAAGGTTACCAAAGGGGAAACTGAGGTCTGAATTGACTATTGACTTCAAGAAGTACAGCTGAGCCTTGAACAGGATCCTCCTCCCAGCAATACCAGCCCCAGCAGAGAGGTTGTGCCTTCATCCCCATTGCCTTCTAACAAGGTAAGAGGATGACATCCAGAGAACAGAGCCAGCTGGAGATACTGCTGCCAGCACCAGCTTCTCATACACTGTAGAGGGGAGCTTAGTAAAGCACTCACCTATTTCTAAAATGTCTGCTAAATGCAATCAGGACCGAGTACTACAATTAATTGCATGCAAAGCCAGAAGTACACAGCATCTGCAGCTTACTCCTGAAAGGGAGAAGCCACTTCCATGACCCCAAAGGACAAGCCCTTGGGAAGGTGCAGAGGGAGCTGCTCAGTGCTTCCTTCCGCCTCCTCCAGCACCAGTAAGGTGTAATCTACCGCAACCCTCTGCAGCAGTCCCCAGGATCTTTTCACAGTTGGAGCACATCCCATTTTAGTCTTTCAAGTGCATCTTGTATTGATCTGCCTCAGCCTGTGTGCCTGAGCTCCCCCCATGTAGCCCAGTTGGGGTTTGACCTCATTCAGACCGTGCAACTCCAGCCGAAATCCAGGGACTGGAGACAGGAGCTGCCCCAGAGATCTGGGGACACAAGCAATAGTTTGGAGGGCAGACAGCTGTGCTGTCCTTCCACCCTTTACACGGAGTTATTCTTTCAAAATTTAAAACATCTTTGCTTCCTCAGGAGTACATGTATTCTTCCAACACCCCCTCCACCTTTATCTTTCTCCTGACCATAGAAAGGCTCCCTCAGAGGTCACTAGGAATGGGACTGGTCTTTTTGTCTCGGTCACTGACCCCAGGGGTAGGTTTATTTTCTTCTGGCAAACACCAGGTCAGGCTGACTGGCTGCATCATGTACAGACAGTTTTGTATGCAGATGAATTTTCTTCTATGCTTATAAAAAGAGTGCAGAGAGAAAGATGTATCGGGAACTTGCAGAATGAAGTCTCACGGGAGCCGCGCACTGATGCACAAAAGCATATCAAAAGGTGCCGAACATTACAGGGGGATTCGCTACTACATTTGGGTGCTCCACAGAAACTAACGTTCAATATGCTGTTGTAAAACCATGCAGTCAAAATCCTTGAATTAAAAAGAAACAAAGCAACCACAAAACCTAAAAAAGCCCACCACCTTCCAGAATAAAGCAAGACAACCACCACTGCCATTAAAAGCTTGGAGTGGACCATATATCAATGCCAACTTTTCTGCACTGTCCTGTTCAAGCCAGTCTTACCCTTCCTTCAGATCTTTTCTCCTTAACATTAAGCAAGCCCAGCCAGCTGCCAAGACCTGATAAAGTCACTAAGTGCAGCTGGAGGCTGCTGACTGGCAGCATCCACGTTGCAGGAGCAGATCCTACTGGGAGAAGCCTCATGGTGCGTGCCTGACCTGGCTGGGTGCGGAGCCGGCAGAGGCACCCATGACACACAGGTCTCAAATGACTCATTTCTTCTGAGAGCAGACGCAGCTCCCCACACGTAGAGCCCGCTCCCCAGGGCTGCTCAACCCACTCACAGAGCTGAGCCATAGGGAAGGGCTGATACTCCTGCAATAACAGAAAAGGGGGAATCTCACCAAGGTTCTCTTGAAAGAAAATGAGGCAGTCTGACCAAAAACGCACCTTCCACACCTTTGCTCCTCTCTAACCTCCCTGCAGTAGTTGCTGCCTGCATGTTTCTGCACAGGACACCCCCACCTTTTCCCAACTATCCTAAAGACATTATATAGTTCACACCCAACCTCCTCCTCAAGGCCCAACACCCTCCAGCTGCCCCCAATAACAGAAACCCCATGTGTTTTGCATCTACCCTAGATGATTTGCCTTCCCTGCTTCCCCAGCACTGCCTCCTCACCTGTGGGTGGGTGCAGCCTACAAGAAGCCGGGGCGTCCCTCCTGCTAGAGGGTAGTGGAGCTGTGTGTGGTCACCAGGGGACAGCTTAATGTACAGGTATGGCCTTTTTTGTCCTTTGTTAGGAAAATGAGGAACATCAACCTGCGATGGTGCTGTTTGGTTACTGCCTGAGGGGGAGATAAATGTCTGCAGGCTGCAATGTTGCCTTCGGAAAATAATAGAGGAAAGGAGGACTGAGTTGCAGTGGCGTTAGTGGAAATCTCACTGTGGGTGCTTAGGTCACAAAGGGTGGGTGTGCTGTGGATTGCCCCTTCCCTTCCTCAGTGAGCACTCCTGGGGCTTTGGCATGACTGAAGCTACCAAATACAAACCCAGTGCCCCAAGTGTAACTGAAAATGAGTGTGAGTGACTCTGCCAAGTACCAACTACTCCGCTCCTGCTTAGCCTTTATTAAAAAAAAAAAAAGGCAACAAATCCAAATAGACCCTTGCAGCCTGTGCAGTTATTGTGGACTCTCCTCCTGCTGCTTGTTGTGAATCCTGTGACTCTTCTAGGGTGCATTCAGTGGTACAGGGATATCTTAAGTTTGCAATGTTGTACTGAGTGATAATTTAAAGAATCCATGGGAACTACTGGAATAAGGCAAAGGTGGCTTGACTTGTATAGCCCTGTCTGCATTAGTTGTACTGTGTTGCCTTCAAACAGCTTAAAGGTGTTATGTGATAAATTTATCACGGTGTGGCTGTCCCAGCATGTCCTCTGTCCTTACCCTACACTGCTCTTCCCATCAGCCCTGAGGAGTTCCCCAACTACCTCAAAGTCTTACTTTTTCTAAAGCTTGGTTTGATTTGCATATTGATATCTCACCACTGCCAGCGCTTTGTCCTGTGATCTGTAAATTTTTTGCTTTCATGACAGTAGTTAAGAGCCCTGTGTAAGAACAGACAAGTCAGAGGGAAGCAAGGTGTGAGAAGTGACTCTTTGCTGAGAGTTGGAACCAGTGTAGGGAAGCGGGGGCTCTAACGCTGGCTAACGTGCCCTTCCTCAGGGGTCAGGCTCAAGAAGCTGGGGAGGCTTCAGCAACAATGTGGAGATGGATGTGTTGTTTCTGAAAGGTGAACGTTGATAAGTCTTGTTCTAGGCAGGTTTCTCTGCTGAAGTAATTCCTGCACTCCCTGGAAATTTTAGAAGTGCTTTTCTTTCACTCTGTGGTTGTCCTGTGAGATGTGGCAAAGGATAAAATGGCACATAAATCCAAACACTGCAGTTATCCCTTCCGGAGTCTGTTACCTGTACCAGTACCAGGGCAGCTGCCTGTGTGGTGAAGAGTGGGGTAAGCAATATGCTCCCTCATGCAGGGCTGTAATCCTTCCCAGGGCCCTGAGGCTGTTTGTCTTAAAAGCGCTGTGATAAATAATCTAATGAACTGCAATTATGAAGAGGAATGTCTCCTAGGTACATAATAGATAATAAGTGTCTAAATGCTTGGAATTCTATTGGAGTAAAAAATAATTACTCTATTAATACACCTCACAGGTATATTAAAACCTGCCAAACATTATGAAGGAGCATGTGCTAACAACATGAAACCGGTACAACATTCAGCCTTGTAGGAACTGACATCCCCTCTCCTCCCATGGTGTGTGTCAGTGAGAACAGGGGCTGAATCTAGCTGCATCCCACCTGATTGCTTGTTGCAGAAAATAAGTGTCTGTAACAGTCACACTGATCACAGGGAAAGAAAGGAGTCAGTAATGTAACAGTCACTTTTTTTTAAAAAAAAAAGCTCGGTGGGAAAGGTGGTTTGTGACCATTTTTCCCATTACCCAACACTGACTTGGTTTTGAGGGTCTATCCCCTATGCCTTTTCGCCTGACTAATCTCAGGCGGTGATTTGGCTCGACTTGAACGTGGCATTCCAGGAGTCTGAAGGGGAGGAAGGCGGCGGCACGGAGCGGTTCGGGTGCGGCTGCTGGGCACGGGCAGGTCCTGAGCCGCTCAGCCCCGGGGGTGAAGCCCCGGGCGGCACCGCGGCTCCCTCCCTCCCTCCCCCCCCGCAGCCGAGACAAGCGGCTCCGCAGGCGCGTACCGAGGCGGGCTCTGCCGCAGAGGCTTTACGGGAGGTGCTGGCCGGGCCGCTTTAACGACCGCACTTCCAAAAGCCAGCGCGGCTTTGGCGACGGGTTGAGCCCGCTGGGGAGCCGGCTGCCCCGGGGTCGTGTCTCCCCCCGACCCCCCGGGGTTACAGCTCCCCGCCACCCCCTCCCGCCGCGGTCGTTCGCCGGCATCCCCGCCCCGCGCTGCGGAGGAGCATCCCCCGCCGGGGCTCGGGGTGGGGGAGCGGGGCGGCCGCCTGGGCCCGGTTACCTGTAGGAGGTGGTGTGCCCGCCGTCCGCCTGCGAGCGCGGCCGCAGCTGCTCGGGGCCGCCGGGCAGGGCGCAGGCGGCGCGGCCCGGGGCGGGCTGGGGGGCGGCCCCGTCCCTCCCGCCGCCGCCGCTGCTGGCGCTGACCCAGGGGAAGGCGTCCCGCCTCGGGAGGGGCCAGGCTCTGAAGTCCCGCCGGTACTGGGTCTCCGCCGCGAAGGGCTCTCCGCCGGTCACCGCCCGGCCCTTCCTGCGGCCGCCCGGCTTCCCGGCGGCGGGGTCCCGCGGGCGGGGGGCCGGGGCGGGCGGGCGGGCGCTGCCCCGGGGGGGGGCCCCGCCGCGCTGGGGCGCCCCGTCCTCCTGCTCCTCGATGTCCGAGTAGTTGTGGATGGTGAGCGGCACGGAGAGGTCGGACTTGTCCAGCTGGCTCCAGAAGCGGGCGAGGCAGCACACCCGGCTGATGCAGGGCCAGGCCATGGCCGCGGCCGCAGCCCCCGCCTCGCCCGCAGCGGCGCCCGCAGCCGGCCGCGCACCCGGCTTCAGCCCTCATCGGCGGCAGCCCCTCCTCCCGCCGCCCCCTTCCCCCGGTATTGACACCCCCTCGCCGGGATTACGGCCCGCACACGTGACCCGGGCCGCCGGCGGGAGCTCCGTGCGGCTCCCGGTGCTGGCGGGGTGGGGGCAAAGCCGCCGGGACCGGACCCCGCGCCGGGATGCGCTTCCCCCGGGCCCCGCCGGTGGGCTGCTCCCGCCGTGCCGTGCCGTGCCGTGCCCCGGCGGGGCTGGGGACCCTCGGTGGGGGCAGGTACCGGCTCCCCGCTCTTCCCTCTTCTTGCGCCTTCGAGGCTGGATGTCTGGTTTCTCTCCGTTCCCGGGAAGCTCCGTAGCATACCCAGTCACAGGCATCGGCCGAGCGAGAGGTGTTGCTTAATTATAATTTCAAGTTAGCCGTAGCCATTTATGATTAGAGAAAGCATTTGTATGCAGAAAATGATGTTTATAAGTGATCTGGATGAGAAATAGCACCTTTGCAATGCTACTTTCCAAGAGCTGTGTACAAAAATCCCACCTCTCTTAACACCCCCCTCCTCCATTTACACGAACAGTTTAACCGCTTCACTTCTAAAATACTACCTATTGACTAAAATCCAAGTGTCTGTTATATATCTTAATGCATGGTCTACATTGTTTACTGTTTGCCAGGGACTATAAATTACAGCCTTTCTTTTGTATACTCATGTTTAGAAACCAAACAGTCCTGGCGCAAACCACTGAAGCTGACAGAATTACATTGGGGATAAGTCTGGCTTTTGAAATTTCACACCTTACGTAAGAAGTGGCTACAGGCCATAATGCTCCTCCACAATTCAGGGGGTTATTACAGAAGCAGCTGACTCTCCCAACAGGTCACCAACTATGACATATAGGGCTGTAAAAGTGAAGAATGCAGCTAAACTGAGATGCTGCCTATCAGAAAACCATCTATTTAAAGGCTAACTAGACAGGTACATTTATGTTAGAATGTAATAATCTAGTTACAGGTGGTTATCTGATAAGATTTGTTAAGAAATTAATTATGCAGTGGAACTCAAAAAATGAAGATTTACTGCTGTATTTCAGCTGAGCAGTTTGTACCAGTAGCATATTAGCACCTCAGTCCAGATTTGCACCTGCTTCTGGTGGGGAGGAGGGCTAGAAATGTGGATATGGGCTGAGGCAGAACCTCTTCTTGAGTGCTTGGCCTCTCTGAACAGTTATCAACAGACAGGAGGAAATTCCTTTGCAGATGATCCTGTTGCCCTAAGTACTCGATTTGACACTTGCTGGTGCTACTAGCAGTTTTGATTTCACTGCTGCCCCCTTCTCCCCCCATCCCCCCCCCCCCCCCCCCCCCGTCAGCTGGGGCAAGGAGACTCAGAAATTTCAGGTAACAACATTTGGGTCCCATGCAGAAGTATTGACACAGTAACATATGGGATATTGGATGCTCCATTTCATTTGTTGCCTGAAAAACCCACAAACGTAATTTTACTTTTAGGAATGTGCAGGGAGGTATTTCTTAATTTTCTGCTGCTTTTTTTTTCTAGAACTACTCTGCTCTAAGCAGTAATTTTTAAAAATAAACCATATTTGGGTGAAATGTACAACACTTTATCCTGGTAAAGAGAAATGGATCTTACATTCATGGGAGAAAACAGAACATCCGCTTTATCATCCGTTATCACTGGCACAGTACAAATGATGCTCTGATCCTTGTTCCTAAGCCTGACTTAGCAAAATACGTTGGAGAATAAATCAGATGTCTCTGCTCTCCCCGTGCCTGCCACTTCCTAGTACTGACTTCAGCTCTGGCACTGCGTGTCTCAGAGCCCACCTACAGCATCAGGGAGTGCTTTGAGCAGCTGCTCATCACAGCTCGTAGGATGGAATTGGTACGAAGGCTATCTCACACTGGGAAACCAGAAGCTGGATGAGATTAAAAAGTTGTCTGCATTTAGAAGAGATTTATCATGATTAAAAGCTGTGGGGAGGGAGAGGGGGCAAAATACTGCAACAGTAAGACAAAGGAAAGCCAGATCAGAAAGCAAAACAGCTGTTGCTGCCAGGAAAGGGGGTTGAATGCTCAAATAGACAGTTTGTTCTAATATTAAAATTAAATTTCAGTAGAGCAGACCACTACGCTGAAGAAAAATATTCCTTAAACATGGCAACGACATGGCAGACTTTCTTAAAGTCATTGAAAAAGGATAAAGGCTTGCGTCTCTACATGATTAACCATGACTTTTATACTTACTGCTATTTTCCTATGCGAACACCAGCTGCTGTCTCTGCCAAGCATCCACATAATTACCACATTGTGTTTTTATTCACAATAATAAGCTCTTTGAAAAGGGGAAAAAAAAGTCTTTCCATGTGGTTAGTTTTGCTTTAGGTGATTGGCTCTTTTTGTTGTTTTTTTTTCTGGGTTTGGGGGGGTTTTGTTTTTTCATTCTTCTTATTTCTTTGCCATTCAAAGATGTGACTTAATACGGAGATATGGGCAGATTTTTTCAAGAAGGGCATTTGCTTGCCAGAAAGTTATCTTATTGACTCTAGTGAGCTGTCATAACTCCAGGCCATTCTTTGTCTGACTTGAGTCCTGCAGTTTTGAAAGATGTTTTGCACCAGAGAAGATAGTTTACCTTTGGCAGACAATGCTGCACAAAGGCTTAGGTGCAAAATGACATGAAACCCACTGCTTGGCCACATGAATGTTTTTGTACAACCTTACATATGTTAAATACCCCTAGGGTTTCTATGAGGAATATTCAGGTATTGAACAGCCTTTAGAAGGGTGAATGCTGTTAGGCCTGAAGTTAAGGTGAAGCTTAGGCATGAGACCCTCAAACCACAGCCACTGACAGAAAAGACGGTGACTTCCAAACCTCTCTGGCAGTTCCGGGCTGTTTTTTCAGGAGCTTTGAGCTCCTGCAACTCCAAGAATCCAGCAGAAGTGCAGGTACTGCCTCTGAAGTGTCAGCCTAAAAATGTCATGGTGCTCACCTGTACTCCTGTGAGCTCAAAGGGCTCACAAAAAATGAAGGGAACAAAGACAACAGGTTAAATAGGTGAAAAACCACCATGCAAAATACTGTGAGAGATTGCTTTTGAGCTTCTTTGGCATGAAATATTCCCTTTATGCCAAGCCTGTTCAGTGGCCACGTTCTGATGCTGCTGGCTTTACCCTGCCCCCACATCTCCACGTCCCACTGCAGGTTCGGCTGCCCTCTGCTGCAGGCAGGGCTGCACTGTGGCTGAAGCCCTACACACCAGCATGCTTCGTCCCAAGGACTGGAGAAGGAAGCAGGAAAGGAGAAGTGGTGACAGATTAGAAAACCAGGAAGCCTCTGGAGCAGAGCAAAGCAAAATCAGATACTCCCACTCTTACTTTTTTTAAGTGTTTAAGTCGATAGGCACTTAAAGGAACAAATCTTGAATTGTCTAATTTTCCAAGGGAGAAAAAAATTTAGACTTGAGTACTGGCCTGTGGCAGTAAGGGAGTTTACAGCAATTTTGTAATAAATGATGGGAGTACAACTGGTGCCATTTAGCATTAAGTATTCTTTATCCCTATAGGAAATGTATTTTCTGCAAGGCACTGTTGTAAAGGAAAAAGGCAGAGGTTGCTTCTTACAGATGCAATGTGTTCTTTGGCCAGTCAGTCCATCTGGAATGACTAATTCAGCCTCCAGGGAAGAGTTAAGGGTTGGATCCCACCAACAGTTATCTGGCCAGACTCCTCAGCCCTTTAGTTGGGTAGTCATCCCTGCAGGACAGGCAGAATAGCAGCATACCCAAAGTCCAATTTCTGGTTTTATTTGTATAATAGGAACACTGGTCATGGCACTACCCTCAGGTTTACTTTAGTAGTTACTTCTGGTTACAGTGTTGTTGACCTCACCCACCTCATCTATTTTTGCTGAAGGTGCTTATTTTCCTAGAACTGCTGGCACATTCTGAACCAAATGTTACTGTTCTAAAATTCTTTAAAAAAACCTTAAAGGAAACTAGCAATACAACACAACTGTAAAACCACAGTATAAGTTGTTCTTGTACTGCACATAATTATGAAAAAGATTTCGTTGTAATAAATTCTAATAAGATGTGACATCATCTTGGAAGCAAATAGAAATGAAACACACAGGTCAAATAAGCCACAGCTGATGAATCAAGCTGGACCGTTAACTGGTGCACAAGCTTCAGGAAACAATCCACTATTGCTTCATGTATTTCAAGTTTAAGATCAAGAGAGACCACTGGTTTATCTCATCCAATCTTTTCAACAATAAAGACCACTAAACTTTACCACATTAGTTCTGAGTCCAATCTAAAGCGTGCCTTCTAGGAAAGAGCACCCTAGCATTGTTTGGCAGACATGAGGTGGATGCATGATCCCTTTAACTTCCTCGGTTTTAAAAATGTTTATTTCCCTAAGTATTAACCAGTTGTACCCCACTTTGAGGTTTTTCTGAATAGAGCTTTTGGTCCCTTCATTGGAAAGCTTGTTTTTTTTTATTCTTACTTTAAAAAATGTAATGCAGACTGTTACCTCAAAGCAAGAGGATAAAAACCTTTATTGTTCCACCTTTATCAGAGTTCATTTTCTATTGATATGCACTTTTGTAACTGTAGTTTACATTAGAAACTTCAGCTCCTTAAGGGCTTAATATGGAGTAGTAAAAAACCTTCAAAACCAATTCAATCCTGTGTCTTCAAGTAATATACCACTTGGGCACAAGGAATCTCCAGGATTAGAATCAGTTAGATCTTCCACCTCCTCCCTTTCCTGTGTTCTTTGTCCTCATTTCGTGCCAAGCTTTCACCAGTGGTTCTCTGTTCTTCCATATGAGCTCATGGCCATAGGTCACGTACCACCTGCGAAAGAAATACTAATTAAAACTAACTGCAACTTTTCTCTGTATCTGAGGAACAGGCTGGTCACTAATATGAAGTGACTCAAATGCTTAATATAGGAGACAAGATAAACTGAGGCAGAAAGAACAACATTCCTGGAAAGTGGCAGTGGCAGGTAAACCACTCTTGACTCCGAACAGTCCTCCTTTGTGTTCTTGCTTGTCTCAGACCTAAGAATGAATGGTTTTCATCCCTTTAATTTTGTGCTCCCATGACTTCTACTTAAAGATGCAAAAACCTATTTCCATTTAAGAGACTGTTAAAACAGGACTTGTGCCTGTGCTAATCCCTTCTGACAACACCAAGCGAAAGTATTTCTCTCGTATGCAAATACGATTTTCCCATAATGAAAAGCCACGTTCCACTCAAAGTGAA